CTTCTGGTTTCATAGAATCGGAATAGGGTTTTGAGGAAGAATTTAATTCTTATTCTTATAAAAAACGTACTATACAGCCAAATATATATATACACTTTTGGGGATAACCACAGCCAATTATATCCCTTAATTCTAGCAGACTAGATAACAAAATCATGAAGCTACTTACCTAGTAATCGGAAAAATCAGGAAACTAATTAAATCCCTTATAAATAAGGAAACTAACAGTTGTACAAACTTAGCCTATTTACACCGGATTTCCACACTCCCCCTCAAGCTAAAGAATGTATATCAATCATTCCCAGCTTGGATAGAATGTCAAATTGAGTTCTTGCAATGGCTTTGGTTAATATGTCTGCCGTTTACTGTCGCGTAGGAGTGTAGACAACTTCAACAATCCCATCCTCTATCTTTTCCTTGATAAAATGACGGTCTATTTCCACATGCTTGGTACGATCATGAAGGACTGGATTTTTTGAAATGCTGATGGCTGCCTAATTATCACACAACAGTTTCATAGGAGTCTTAATTGGAAGTTGTAGTTCCTCTAGGAGTTTTTTTATCCACATCCCTTCACAAATTCCATGAGCTAGGGCCCTGAACTCAGCTTCAGCATTACTCCGTGCAACTACTGATTGCTTTTTACTCCTCTAGCTGACCAAATTTCCCCACACAAAGGAACAATACCCGAAAGTTGATCGTCTATCAATCAAAGACCCTGCCCAATCTCTGCATCTGACAAAATCTTTATGCCCCTGTTGATTCCTTTCTTGAAGAGTATACCTTTGCCGGGAGACATCTTTAAGTACCTTAGAATTATGTACACTGCTTCTTGATGCTCTTCATTCGGACTATTCATTAACTGACTAACTGTACTAACTGCAAAACTGATGTCTGGTCTTGTGTGAGACAAGTAGATCAATTTGCCCACTAATCTTTGATATCTTCCTTTATTACTAGACCTGAGTCTCCCTTAGTTCTAATTTTGTTGAATGGATCCATGGGAGTATCTGAAGGTTTACAGCCTTTAGTAAGTCCAGTGTATATTTCCTCTGCGAGACTGAAATTTCTTTACTAGACCGTGTTACCTCCATTCTAAGAAAGTACCTTAGGACTCCAAGATCTTTAATTTTAAATTCTCGACTTAAAACCCCTTTTAGCCGAGTAATCTCTACCTCATTATCTCCTGTAACAATTATGTCATCAACATAGACAATAAGGATTGCAATCTTACCATCTGGAGTTCTCTTGATGAACAAGGTGTGATCAAATTGTCCCTACAAATAACCCTACTTCTGAACTACCTTGGTGAACCTGTCAAACCAAGCTCTTGGAGATTGCTTGAGACCATACAGTGACTTCCGAAGCCTGCAAACCTGCTTGCAATCACTTGACTTTTTGAGACCGAGTGGGATCTCCATATATACTTCCTCTTCCAGATCTCCATTGACGAATGCACTTTTACATCAAATTGGTGCAACTTCCAGTCAAGGTTGACGGCTAAAGAAAGTAGAACTCGGATGGTATTCATCTTTGCAACCGGAGCAAAGGTTTCCTGATTGTCAATCCCATAGGTTTGTGTGAAGCCATTTGCCACAAGTCTTACCTTGTACCTGTCAATACTCCCATCTGTTTTGTATTTAATATTGAAAACCCATTTACATCCTACAACATGTTTTTCCTGAAGGAGTTGAGTGAGTTCCCACATGCCATTCTTCTGCAAGGCTCTTAACTCTTCATTTACTGCTTTTCTCCATTCTAGATGTAGTAGTACCTCTTGAATGTCTCTTGGAATCTGGATACTATCTAGATTTGTGGTGAAGGCCCTGTAACTCGGAGATAGCTTCTCATATGACACAAAGTATGAGATAGGATGTTGAGTGCACGATCTAATTCCTTTCCTTTGAGCAATTGGCTTGCTAAGATCATCAGGCAAACACGCATCATTAGAAGAGGAATAGGGTTCAGTATTACCTTGTATCACTTCATTTGGAGTTAAACTCGGGTTGTCTGCTTGACAAGGCGTAGGAGTCTCAGGATGCTCTACTACTAGTTTAGGGGTCTTCTTACGTCTGGTGTAGACTAGGAGTTCCTTCTCAGCCACGGGTTCAGGAGGGAGATCACTCACGAGTTCTTTTTCTGGTTCTTCTAACATCATACTATCCCAAAACTGATATAACTCTTGTAGTTTCTCCCTCTGAATAGAAGTTTTGGAATAATATGGGACATTCTCCATGAAAGTAACATCCAGTGTTATATGTTTTCCTAGTAGATGGGCAATAGCACTTGTAACCCTTTTGATGAGGTGAGTACCCAAGGAACAAACACTTGATAGACTTGGGATCAAGTTTGCTTCGTTGATGAGAAGGAATATGGACGTAGGCTGAACATCCAAACACTTTGAGAGGTATAGTATTCACCACCCTGCTTTGTGGGAAGAGTTTAAGAAGAATTTGGTATGGTGTATTAAATCCCAAGATTCGAGATGGCATCCTATTAATCAGATAGGTGGCAGTTAAAACTGCTTCCCCCCAAAATTGTTTTGTCACATTGCTAGCAAATAGGATAGAACGGACTACCTCAAGAAGGTGTCGGTTCTTCCTTTCTGCTATTCCATTTTGTTGGGGGGTATCTGTATAGGAACTCTGATGGATAATGCCATTCTCGAGTAGATAGGGTCCTAGGATTGAGTTGAAATATTCCCTAGCATTGTCGGTTCTAAACACCTGAACTAAAGCTTGAAACTGGTTTTTAATCATAGAATGAAATGTTCTAAATAAGGGTCCAGCCTCTGATTTTTCTTTCATAAGGAATACCCAGGCAGCGCGAGTGTGATCATCGATAAAGGATACAAACCATATTGCACCAGTTATATTTAGAATCCGAGATGGTCCCCAAATATCACTGTGTATAACTGAAAAAGGATGAGAGGGTTTGTAACCTTGAAGAGGATAAGTGCACGACAGTGTTTCGAAAATTGACAAACTTCACATTGGAAAAATTTCGGATTTATATTGATAAATAATGAAGGAAACATCTTGGCCAAATACAAGAAATTTGGATGTCCTAAACGAAAGTGCAGTAACCTAATGGAACTGTCTTTATTGGAATCAAAATACATAAGATGGTCCGAATCTTTAACTGTTGAGGCAGTGGAGTGATGAGCCCGAGAGTAAGGATGGCTTTGTCCCTAATCCAATAGAGTCCGTGGTCTACCTTAGCATTGCCAATCATCTTCCCCAAATCTAAATCCTGAAATAAACATGAAGTGGGAGAAAATTGAGCAACACATTTAGAATCTTTAGTGAGTTTACTAACTGACAGCAAATTGCACGTTAATTTCGAAACCAAAAGAACAGATTGAAGAGTTAACATATCAGAGATGACAACTTTTCCAATTCCTGTTACTAAGGAAAGTGATCCATCAGCAATCCAGACTTTATAATCTTTAAGAAGCATCACCAGTCATGTGGTCTAAGGCTTCTGAATCAACAATCCAACCTGTGGAATCGTCAGTTTTGACATGATGAGTGGCTGAAAAAATACCTTTCTGTGCAGTGGATCCTGTGGAGATAGTGGGGGCAAGGTTTGAGTTCTGGTTGAACATCTTCTGTAGCCATTCAATTTGCACCTTGCTGAAGAGACTAGGTTCCGAGTTTGATAGACTTTCCTTGTCTTCGAGGGCAGCAACAAAACTCCAAGCTTCTCTTTCTCGATTCGGCTTCCAATCAACGGGCTTACCATGGATTTTCCAGGAGGTTTCTTTAGTGTCCTGTTTTCTAGCAATGGTCACACCAGGGCCAAGTCTTCTTCTGCTTTGTGTCATGAGCTGCATAAGTTCCCCTTGCTAGAAGGGTTGAGCCTTCTATTCCTGTAGGTAGTGGACTTCCTAGCAAAAGTTTCTTCCTACTTTCCTCTCTCCTGACTTCTGAGAATGCCTCTCGAATGGATGGAAGTGGCTTGGTTCCAAGAATTCTCCCCCTTACTTCGTCAAGGGATTTATCAAGCCCTAGCAGAAACTTGAAAACTCTGTCCTTTTCTATAATTTTCTTATACAGGTTTGCATCTCCAGGACATTCCCAAGCCGGACTATCAAACATATCCAATTGTTGCCAAAAAACGTGTTAGACAATTATAGTATTGAGTCACATTTAACTCATCTTGTCTTAGGTCGTGAAGTGCTCCCTTAATCTCAAATAATTCTACAGTGTTCTCGTTGTCTGAGTAGGTCTCTTGAGCCGCCATCCATATTTCATGTGCAGTGTCATAGAACAAAAAATTATGTCCAATTTCTACATCCATGGTTTTTACTAGCCAAGACATAACCATAATGTTTTCTACTTTCCAGATTTTGTACTTGGGGTCATTCGGTTTTGGTGAAACAGCCACTCCCATGAGATAATCATCTTTCCCTTTGCCTGAGATGAACATCATGATAGACTTGGCCCATTGAAGATAATTCTGACCATTCAACTTGTGTTGAATGATGAGAAGAATTGAGCCCTCTAATCTGCCTCCATTCAAGCAATCGTGACCAGCCGAGGTTCCTGGGGTATTGCTTGTTTCCGATGCCATGAGGTGGATTTAGAGTTTGCAGTGATGACGATAACAGAGAGAAGATTGTGGCTTGAATAAAATAGAGAAAACCCTAAAACCGGATTAGCAACCTTGCTCTGATACCATGAAGATTTTCATAAAACCGGAATAGGGTTTTGAGGAAGAATTTAATTCTTATTCTTATAAAAAACGTACTATACAACCAAATATATATATACACTTTAGGGGATAACCACAGCCGGTTATATCCCTTAATTCTAGCAGACTAGATAACAAAATCATGAAGCTACTTATCTAGTAATCAAAAAAATCAGGAAACTAATTAAATCCCCTATAAATAAGGAAACTAACAGCTGTACAAACTTAGCCAATTTACACTGAATTTCCACAGAAACAGATTCTATAATTATATATTCACACGAGTTTCGAATAAAACCACGTACGGTAATCACACATCTGTGATAGTTAAGTGGCTCCACCAACTGCTCAAAACCGTTAGAACCTTCTCCATCTAAATCCTGTGAAAGAAGGAAAAGACAATCACGGCATGAATATGACTATAAGGGTTTCCCTCCCACTGTGTGAAAAATATTTAAACCAGGCTTGGAAGACTCTAGCAGGTATGATATCGGCATTTTGACCTGAGAAATTATATATAACATGGGAGGTGTAAAAAATTCTGCGAGTTTTATAAAGAATAAAATTATTAAACCCAAACAAGTTTTCAGTTCATGATGTTACATGAAACTTTTTTCCATGATATAATCATTTTCCATTTCACTATGTAAGGAAGCTCCTAAATGAAGATGTTAACTCCGAATGCATTTTATTTTCCTTCCTCCTTTTCTGATGGAGCAGTTGATTTAAGAAATTAATTTGTCTAAGCTTTTAATCTTGAAGATGAAATTAATATTTAGCCACCAGAATTCAACTGTAACCTTTGCAATACCACCAAGTAAAATCAGAGACTTTTGCCCCTTGAGACCCATTAGTCCTGTGTATGTCGCATCAACATTAGTTGCCTTGCTGTCGTCCACCCATGTGACCCCATTGCTATCCTTGCATACTGCATAAAAACAGAAGATAAGAACAACGGGTTTGGCTCCTTCCGTGAAGTTGAATCAAACGAATAGCCTAGAAAGATATTAACTTGGAAACTACATAAATTAATGAATTGGATATAAATACTTACAGGCATAAAACTTGCGACACTTTTCCTTTCCTAGTATTAGTAACATATATATAGCATGTATAAGGACACGGGCAAATACCACAATGGTAATAAAATTTAAGGGAGATTCAAAATTCAAAGAGAAAAAGTCGCGATTGAACCAAAAAAAAACTGCAAAGGTCATAGAACAGCAACTAACATGTTAAGTCAAGACCTAAATTATAGCTGTAATACTAGCCAAAAGCCCCCGCGTTGCTACATAAAACATTGTTTTATTATATGAAAAGTTTGAAATTTTTAAAGCATAAAATTAATTTATATATACATATATACATATAGATATATTTATATAATATTTTAGTTAAAAAGTTTTTTACTATGTATTATAGCTTTTATTTTCCTTTTTTTCTTTGTTCTTCTTAACTGCAAAATACAAATTTAAAAAAAAAATTAATAATAATAATTAAGAAAGCTGAAAATCTTTAATTATATGTAGTGTAAATTAAAGGATTTAGAAGTAGTTATATTACCTAGTTCTTAAGTGTTTTCTGAATGCGTCTGTTGCCTTTGGTTCAGAATTAAAATGATAAAAGATTGTTAAGATATATATTCAAAATAAAAAGGTACAATTTATGGTATGGCAAGCAAATATGCTCTACCAGTAAGTAAAGTAAAATTATGGTTGACCATGAAGTTCATTGGTTGGCATTGTGAAATAAGGAAGATAATTGTGAGCTTGGGTGTATCTGACCAAAGCAAGAGAAGAGTTGGATTAAACAAATGAATTAATGATTTCTCATAGAAATTGTAAATTTTCTAGAAGAAACTCTCTTCTATTATTTTCGGAATAGTAAAAAATAAGAATAAATAAGCTAAGGAAGAAACTATATCTTCCTAACAGAAACTATCCTAATTAAAGATAAACTCTAAAGATAAAACTCTAACCTAAAAAACCTTATCTTTAATAACAAACCCTTTATCCTCTATTTTATTTAAATTCAAATACAAAGACTTTATCTAACCGACACTCCCCCTCAAGTTGGTGTCAAAGATATCTATCATGCCCAACTTGCTAACTAGAAATTCAAACTTCTGCCTTAGGAGTCCCTTTGTTAGAATATATGCAACTTGTTGTGTGGTTGGAACAAATGGCGTGCATATGACCCCTTCTTCAAGCTTCTCCTTTATAAAGTATCTATCCACCTCAATGTGCTTTGTTCTGTCATGTTGAACAGGATTGTGCGCGATACTGATCGCAGCCTTATTGTCACAATATAGTTTCATAGGACTATCTTGTGGTCTTCTAAGCTCCTTGAGGACTCTCAATAGCCATAGTACCTCACATATCCCTAGTGCCATTGATCTATACTCGGCCTCGGCACTACTTCTAGCTACTACACTCTGCTTTTTGCTCCTCCACGTGACTAAATTTCCCCATAAAAATGTGCAATATCCAGAAGTTGATCTTCTATCCACTATTGATCCTACCCAGTCAGCATCCGTATAGACTTCAATTCCCCAACAATCCTTTTTCTGGAGTTCCCTTTAAATACCTCAAGATCCAGTAAACTGCTTTAAGGTGTTCCACATACGGGGTGTGCATGAACTGACTAACCATACTTACTGCGAATGCGATATATGGTCTTGTATGAGATAGGTAAATTACCTTGCCAACTAGTCTCTAGTATCGGTTTGTATCAACTTGGACCCCTTTCTCTCTTTCACCAAGTTTTACGTTGAACTCCATAGGGGTGTCAGCCAGTCTACATCCACTCATCCATGTTTCTTCTAAAAGATCAAGGATATATTTACGATGTGAGACGACAATGCCTTTCTTGGATCGAGCAAATTCCATACCAAGAAAGTATCGTAATGGTCCTAGATCCTTAATCTCAAATTCAGTAGCCAAGCATTGCTTTAATTTACTCATTTCTTCGAAATCATCTCCTGTAAGGATAATATCATCCACGTAGACAATTAAGACATCGATCTTTCCTTCAAAGAATATCTTCATGAATAGAGTATGGTTTGCTTGTCCTTGAGTAAAGCCTTGACCTTTTACAAACTTTGCAAATCGTTCAACCCAAGCTCTAGGAGGCTGCTTGAGCCCATACAGAGACTTTTTTAATCGACAGACCCTCAAACCAAACCTCTCAGAAAAACCTGGTGGAGCATCCATATACACCTCTTTTGCTAATTCTCCATTGAGGAAGGCATTTTTTACGTCTAGTTGGTGTAGAGGCCAATCAAGATTCACGGCAATGGACAGGAGAACCCTTATTGTGTTCAGTTTTGCTACTAAAGAGAAGGTTTCAAAGTAGTCAATACCGTATGTTTGTGTAAATCCCTTTGCTACCAAGCGTGCTTTATGTCTTTCCAATGAGCCATCTGAGTTGTACTTCACGGTAAACACCCATTTGCAACCAACGGTTGTTTTCCCACGTGGCAAGTCTACTTCGTCCCATGTTTCATTTTTCTCAAGAGTTCTCATCTCTTCATAAACTACTTCCTTCCACTCGGGAACAACTAGAGCCTCCTGTATATTTTTTGGAATAGCTACACTGGAGAGTTGTGAGATAAATGCATGGAAGGAGGGTGACACTTTTTCATAGACACAAAATTGGACAATGGATGTTTGGTGCAAGATCTAATACCTTTTCTGAGAGTAATAGGAATTGAAGAGTTTGGTTCAGAATTACCTGGGACTTTATCTGACATGGGATCTAATCCACGGTTGGACTCTTGGCAGTGTTGCAAGTTAGATTTCTTTGTTCCTTGTTGATGATTCCTTCTTGAGAAGACCAGCCCTTTGTACCATTTCGCACACATCTCTGATTTTCCACGATTATGATCATGTGATGGCATTAAGGAAGCCTGTCCATGATTTTCAGTATCCAATACATTTGTTTCATTTGAATTTTCATTCAAAACTATACCTACATCATTTATTTCCTCATCTATTTCAGGTGTAAGTTCAAACACGACTGGAACCGTTTCAGTTTTTTTAAAAGCATCAATATTGACATTTGAATCTTCACTATTGTTCTCCTCCTGAAGATGAGAACTCATGTAGTAACTTTGGTTTTCAAAAAAGGTTACATTCATGGAAACAAACAATTTTTTTGAGAGTGGATCAAAGCACTTGTACCCTTTTTGATTTGATGGATAGCCAATAAAAATGCATTTTCTTGCTTTAGGATATAGTTTCCCTCGTTTTTTATCATAGATATAAACAAATGCAGTACATCCAAATATTTTCAAAGGGATATCACCAAAAAGCCTTGAAGTAGCAAAGCACTCTTTGAAAACATTTAAAGGGGTTTTAAATTTCAAAATTCTAGTTGGCATCCTATTGATCAAGTAAGTGGCTGTAAGGATAGCTTCCCCCCATAAATATTTTGGAACATTAGTTGAAAATCTTAAGGCCCGGGCAACTTCTAGGAGGTGTTTATTCTTCCTTTCAGCCACCCCATTTTGTTGAGGTGTATTATTACAAGAGCTTTGATGCACAATTCCTTTTTCATGAAAAAAATTTTCCAGAATGAAGTTAAAATACTCTTTTCCATTATCACTCCGAAAGATTTGAATTTCAGTTTTAAATTGTGTTTGAACCATGGTGTAAAAATTTTGATACACTTGTTCCGCATCAGATATTTCTTTTAGTAAAAATATCTAAGAAACCTTGTGTGATCATCAATGAAGGTGATAAACTATCTTTTACTTAAGAGGGTTGCAACCCTAGAAGGACCCAAAACATCACTATGTATTATAGTAAATGGTTTTGAGCTTTTGTAGGTTTGTGGTGGAAAGGGGACGCGGTGATGTTTTGCTAACTCGCAAATTTCACATTGAAAAGAAGAGGGATTTTTATTGATAAATAACTTGGGAAACAAATGTTTCAAATATTTAAAATTTGGATGACCTAATCTATAATGCCATAGCATAATTTCATTTGTACTAATAACAGAAATAGAATTGAAACAAGTCTTCCGAGCTTGCCTTCCAATTGCAGATCCACCTTCAAGTATGTAGAGTCCTTCAACTTGTTTAGCACTGTCAATCATCTTCGCCGAGGTTAAATCCTAGAACTCACAATGAGAAAAAAGGAAGTTAACTTGACAATTTTGATCATGAGTTAATTTACTGACAGATAAGAGATTTCAAGACAAATTTGGGACATTGAGAATAAGGTGAGGAGAAATAAAGATGGTTCCTTTCCCGGCTATTGTTGAGAAGGAAGCATCAGCTATTTTGATTTTTTGATTTCCTGCACAAGGTATAAGATGAAAATAATTGTGATAATCTGGTCATGTGATCGGTTGCATCGGAATCGATTATCCAAGAACAATTTGGATTGACACTAATAAGAGCAACTGTGAGGTAATTATCTTTTTGTGCCACATAACAAGAAGGGTTGAAATTTACTGGGGATTGTAAGGGTGGCTGAAACATTTTGTACAGATGGTTAATTTGTTCCTTTGTAAATGGAAGAGTTTCTGAGGAGACTTGTTGCTGCCCTGTTTCATTATTGTTGCTGGCCTGGAATGCCCGAGTGTCACCATTCTGCTTCTTTTTTCAGTTTGCTGGCATGCTGTGAATTTTTCAACAGTTCTCACGGGTGTGCCACGATTTTTTGCAGTGATCACACCATGGTTTCTATCTTCCATTCTTCCTTTCGTTCTTTGGATCATACCCTTTTGTAGCCAGTGCAGAACTTTTAGCATCAAGGCTTGGTCGAGTGTCTCCTGCTGGCTTCATCATGACATGTCTACGAGCTTCTTCTCTGCGGACTATAGAGAAAACCTCTCTGATTGAGGGGAGAGGTGTTTGACTCAAAATTCAACCTCGGAATTCATCTAATTCTTTGTTTAAACCTGCAAGAAATACAAACACGGTTTCTTTCAATTTTTTTCTTGTATCGAACACTATCACTTGGACTCTCCCATTCTTCTTCTTTGAGTAGATCAAGTTCCTGCTATAGTGTCATCATCTCGTTATAATACACAGTCACTTCTCGGTCTCCTCGCTAGGATCTCCACATCTTGTCATTTAATTCAAACATCTGGGAATAATTTTCTAGATCAGAGTATGTATCCCGCACTGCTTCCCAAACATCTCGGGTAGTAGGAAGAAACATGAAGGGTTCCATAGAATTAATCAACCAGGCAATTACCATTGAGCTCTCTGATTTCCATCTCCTATGCTTTGCATCATCAGTAGGCTGTTTTATTTCTCCGATCAGGTAACCAAGCTTTCCTTTACCATCGATCACAAGTTTGACAGATTATGACCATTCTAGATAATTTTTTCCATTCAGTTTATGAATGGTTATTTGAAGGGAATGATTTGGTAAATACATAGGAGACTGATGAACAACCTCATCGGCAACCTTTGAGGAACTCGTGCCTTTGGTGGCACCAACCATGGCTGTTTTTGTCATGGCTCTGATACCATGTAAATTTTCTAGAAAGAAACTCTCTTCTATTATTTTCGGAATAGTAAAAAATAAGAATAAATAGGCTAAGAAATAAACCTTATCTTCTTAAAAGAAACTATCCTAATTAAAGATAAACTCTAAAGATAAAACTCTAACCTAAGAAACCTTATCTCTAATGATAAACCCTTTATCCTCTATTTTATTTAAATTCAAATACAAAGACTTTATCTAACCGACAGATATAATTATGGGCCCACAGTTGTTTAACTTTGAAAGTAAAAAAAGTTTAGAATTATAAAAAAAGTTTATAGCATAGAATTAGTTTATATATACATATCTATATATAGATGTATCTAGATAATATTCTAGTCAGAAGTTTCTTATAATGTATTAGAGCTTTTGTTTTCCTTAACAGTCCTAATATGAACATTGTAAGATCTAATACAGCAGATAAATAGATAATCTAAGGTAAAATGAAGCTAAGCTAAGCTAATATGAACCAAAACAACTAAAAAAAATTAAAAAAATTTACCTTGGCGACATCAAGAAGTTTAACAATAATTGCAGAGAGGAAGGAGGCACCAGAAGCAGAGACTCAGCGATAATTTCCTATCTGAAGCGTTCTTCAAACTTGACAGCTGAACGGCCGATAACCTAGATTAGTTCAATGAAAACTCCATCAAAACCCAAATTATTAACTTAGCTTCAACATTTCATACCTCATTTCATAGGAAACCAATTCAAAAAAAAAAAGTTGTATTTGACCTTCATCCATCCTCAAAGTTATTTATCCCAACTTAAGCACTCCTTGATCTAGCTATAAATCACTTTGTTACATAATTGAAGACCTTAAATATGCATTCATATCATTTCCTTCAATGTGCCTTAGGAAAGCCAAAGCTGATTATAATATTAATACACCAAACAAAAAATCAAGCTCTTTCAATGCAACGATAATGCAAATAGCTTATGCATAAGATCAACACAAATAGAGATATGTAGTCTCCCAAGAGCTTTTACCACTACCAACAATATTATAGCATACCATTACAACGTCGACTTCAACTCTTATACATACTTAAAACATCATTATCGTCCACAATATAATCAAACACGGGGAAATCAATCTTTCAAAACACATAAACTAACAACTAATATTTATCTCAGAAAGTAGTACTCTAACATCAAAACTAACCAAGATAGCTCATTAGATTCAATCCTATTCTTCAAGACTAACCTTCAGAAATCCCTTTTTTGTACTAATTTTGGGAAACAAACTAGAATAGTGTAGCAATTGAATTACACTGTAACTTTTCTTGACTGTCATGGTGAACATAGCAAAGAATTAAATTTTTTCATGCTCTTAATGCAAAGTATTCCATCAAAACATTGAAAAAGGAAAAATAAAAGCAAGAAATAAGGGACTATCTCATAGGGACAAAAATTCATGAGAAAATTAGAATGACATCATCTTAAAACATCATTATCCTCCACAATATAATCAAACACAGGCAAATCAGTCTTTAAAAACACATAAACTAGCAAATAACATTTATCTCATAAAGTAGTAACATTCACCTTGTTTCATTGTTTTAATACCTTCGTCCCATCCCTTAATAATTTACCCTGCAATGCATCATAACATACAAACATTACCATCATTAGCGGCAATCTATCTCAAAAAATTATCTCATCTTAATTAATGACAGGTTCTCAATAAGGATGTAAACTAAACAACCTCATTCTTTCTAATTCTAAAAAACACACGAAATGGCTTAAACTTAAGCAAGAATAAAACATGAAGCAACACGATTTATAACCTCTACTTCCACTTTGTTGCACCACTTGTTTAAAGTAACATGAAGTTCCACATCAACAACTGACTGAAAAACCAACTTATATAATTATCTTGAAGGAGTTAGTTTTTACTTACAGATGGGAAGTTTTCGTTGAAAACTTCTAATCGATCCGTATAACATAAATAAACATAAATAAACTTTCTTGCAGATACATAACACAAAGTATGAAAAGTGTTAAAATACCAACTTGAGAGAAATCAATTCTGCCCTTATCTCTTTTAGGAAATTCCTCAAAATCAGACATACAGGCACTTTCCATACTTTTTATCACACTGCGAAAAAGGTGAACTGTACCAAGCTGCAAGGTAATGGAAGAGTTCTCAATTTTCACAATGTAGCTAATGTTGCAGCATTTCAAGCACTTCAAACATAAATAAGCACTTTGAATCGAGTAAATACTTTTCCTGATTTTTTTCCCTTCTGATATGATAATAAACCATAACAGAAATTGCAAATGAATATCTGCAGAATACATATACATTAAAAAGAATGGATTATATCATCACCTTAAAGTAAATCTTAAAGAGCTGGCAAGTCTGTACAATGCTCCAACGCATTTTGTGCCTTTTCCCTAGAACATAATACCCCATTAACTCATTAACAGTAATAACTCAAGAAACTTAACCATTACACAAATTCAACTTCTTAATGCACAACTCACAATCATTGGCCAGAAAAAAATCATAATTGTCCAAGTCTTCAAAAATTTTATATCCATCTAGGTGCAATAAGCATAAACAAATAGCTTGTTCTTGCTAATTATGGCAAAAAAAAGATCAAATCAGAGATCAGGGTAGAGAAAACTGAAGCATATACAAAGAAACAAAGCACAATGAGATAAACATACAGCAAGAATGCCAAAGACTTTCATGAGGAAAGAACCACCAGCCTTCAATTTCTTAGGAGGTCTTCCATTTGAAGCCAATTCTCTATTAGCCTAACAACTAAAACCAAAACAGCATTTTCTTAATTCCTTTTCCCAATCCTTCAAAATCCTAATTATAAAACCGAAAAAAGGAATTTTGAAGCTCACATTCTCTGCAAGGATCCTAATTTCATAAGCAACGACACACAACACCTCCAATCCGAGATTCTCTACAAAAATGAAGCTTTTCGTGCAAGAAACAGAGGAAATAACAAAAATCTCAGACTCATATTAAAATAAAGAACAATTCTTTCATGCAAAATCATCAAAGACACAAAAAGAAACCTAAATTAAGCCTCATTCATGAATCGTTACAACCGGAATGACAAAAAAATGATAAATTTCCACTCAATTACGACTTACAATTCAAAACCTGAATTAATAGGGAGAGCAAACATTCATCTTGTAGAAAATTTATGGGAAAATTAAATAGTTAAACTGAGAAACTTTTAAATCTTTACCTACGTAGGCGCAAGTTTTCCAAATACTCCTTGGATAGGAACTGGTAGATATCCTGAGTATCGAAAAGAAAACAAATAAACAGATAAATAAGCAGAATACCACCGCGAATGGGGAGGAAATATTTCTCTCTCCAATTTTGCCGGCAAATTATAACCTTAAAAAACCCAAAAAAAAACTAACAAAAAAAGCCCAACAATAACTGCAAAAAATGTACAAAGTTTATGTTCCTTATTATCATGAAAAAACTCCGAAACGTCCAAATTTCAACGGCGGATGCGATTAAAGAACTGAATCTATTTCTCCGGGCTGCTTCTCTTCCCCAGTAATATAGCTGAGTTTTCCTCTGCCATCGAGCACAAGTTTGACGGACTGTGACCACTCAAAGTAGTTTTTTCCATTCAACTTTTGAACAAAAATTTGTAAGGAGGAACCGGTTGTTATATTATCAACACCGGTATAGAGAGAATTGTCTGGTCTATTTTCAGAGGCAGCCTCAGATGAGGTTTGGGCTCTGTTTACACCGGTCATGGCTGTCTTTGCCATTTTTCCCTTTGGATTAAAACCCTAAGGCTCTGATACCATGTAGGTTTTGAGGAAAAAACTTATTTTCTCTCTTATTTCAATCATGGTAGCATACATCTTATTTATAGGATACATTGTATCCTTGACAGCTCACAAACATCTAACAAAACCAAAAACTATCTAAATCCGGAAACTAACTAAAGAGAATCTGGAAACTACCCTATTTCCTAGGAACCTTACCCCAAACTAAGGGATTTGTCCCTTTTATTCAAAAACAGAAAAAGTAAACTAGAAAACAGGAAAGTAAACAATTTTATTCTCTATTAGAAAATAAATCTTCTACTTTCTGACAATTTTCTTTCCTCCTTTTCTGATGGAGCAGTTGATTCAAGAAATTAATTTGTCTAAGCTTTTAATCTTGAAGATTAAATTAATATTTAGCCACCAGAATTCTACTGTAACCTTTGCAATACCACCAAGTAAAATCAAAGACTTTTGCCCCTTGAGACCCATTAGTCCTGTGTATGTCGCATCAACATTAGTTGCCTTGTTGTCGTCCACCCATGTGACCCCATTGCTATCCTTGCATACTGCATAGGCTCCTTCGGTGAAGTTGAATCAAACGAATAGCCTTGAAAGATATTAACTTGAAAACTACATAAATTAATGAATTGGATATAAATACTTACAGGCATAAAACTTGCGACACTTTTCCTTTCCTAGTTTCAGTAACATATATATAGCATGTATAAGGACACGGGCAATAATACAATGGTAATAAAATTTAAGGGAGATTCAAAATTTGTGGAAATATGAAATTAAACATCTCAATTAGCAAAACAGATTGTCAATCAGTTAGCTGATTGTTTGTATTTTCTTATTTGTAAATATTAGTTTATTTTTTGCTGATTTCTAGGCCTAGAAGCAAGGGTGATATCGGATTGTGATTTCCCCTCCTTTTCTATTTAATCTCTGTACATTCACTATGGAAAATTAGGAAATAAGAAAAAAAGAATAATTTTTCTCCCAAATTTTTTCATGGTATCAGAGCGGGAGGTCCTGAGTTCAAACCCCTGTAATTACACTCTTTATCCCCATTTAAAATTGTCATCATATGTTGGGTTTTTAATATATCTCGGGCTTAAATATTCACGTGTTGGGCTTTCCAATTAATTTACCCACACGATTGCCCATTGTCCAACCCACACGTGAGGGGGAGTGTTAAAGTATAAAACTATTGTTAGTCCACCTCCTAACAGCTTAAGCTTTTGGGATGGATGGGTGATCCTTCATTATTTCAATCTTATCATCCTTGTTCTGAGAATTACAAAGTTTGCATTGCAGATGGATCCTTATCCTCTGTGACTGGTATTGGGTCCATAATAATCTCACAAGATCTTATTCTAAAATCTGTCCTTTTAGTACCCAATCTGACATGCAACTTGCTGTCCATCAGTAAACTCACAAAAGATCATAACTGTGTTACTAAATTTTACCCTTATCACTGTCAATTTCAGGATTTGGACTCGGGAAAGACGATTGACAATGCTAAGGAGTGTGCGAGGCTCTACCTCTTCAAAGTTGAAAGTATTCTTGAGAAACATGCTCGATGCGTATCCGTTCCAGCCAAAATGGGTCAATCCATTAGGGATCTTTTTTCCATTGGGGTCCTTCTCGCATCACCAATATCTCAGGAAAAAGGTGGTTTGTCTCCTTTATTGATGATCATACAAGAACAACATGGATATTTCTCATGAAAGAAAAATCAGAGGCAGGTCCTATCTTTAAAAACTTCCATTCCATGATCTAAAACCAATTTCAAGTCAATGTTCAAATCTTTAGAACAGACAATGCAAAAGATTATTTCAATACCATTCTTGGGGAATACTTACTGGAAAAAGGAATAGTGCATCAGAGTTCTTGCATAACTACCCCTTAACAAAATGGCATAGCCGAATGGAAAAACCGACATCTTCTTGAAGTTGCTCGTGCTCTCATGTTTACCTCCAATGTTCCAAAACATTTCTGGGGAGATGCAGTATTTACAGCAGCATATCTCATCAACAGAATGCCATCTCGGGTACTGAAATTCAAAACTCCATGTCAAACTCTCTCTCAAGCCTATCCTTCAACTCGGTTGATCTCTTCTCTTCCTCTCAAAGTGTTCGGATGCTCCGTGTTTGTCCATATTCCCTCCCATCTGAGAAGCAAACTTGATCCCAAAGCTGTTAAATGTTTATTCCTTGGATACTCATCAAATAAAAAAGGATACAAGTGTTACTCTCCAATCACCAAGAGGATCTACAATTCTATGGATGTTTCTTTCATTGAAGACCAACCATTCTACCCCAAAACTCATATTCAGGGGGAGAATTCTGCCACTCAAGAAGAATATAAGTTTTGGTTTGACCTAGATCATCCGACATCCACTGAACCTCCACAAATACAGTCAACCGAAACTCCACAAATAGAGTCAACCGAACCTCCACAAACAGTACAACTCACTCCTCAAACAACTCAACTTGAAAATCCTTCCATCACAGACACTCTTCTGATCCACAAAACTGGTACAGATTGCAGACAAGTGTACTCAAGAAGGTTGAAGACTAAAAAGGGGATAGAGCATCCAATTCTTCCCGAGCAAAGCCAGGAACCCGATCTGAGTCCAAGTTCAGAAATCAATCCTTCAGGTAACACTGATAATCATTCTGATTCATTGTTGAGTAATGATCTTGATGTCCCTATTGCTAATAGGAAAGGTGTGAGAACATGCACACGTCACCCTATTTCCTCTTTTGTATCTTATGATAGATTATCTCCTAGCTACCAAGTCTTCACCACCAATCTATCAAAAGTTGACATTCCAAATAGCATACAAGAAGCAATTACCCAACCAGAATGGAAGAAAGCTATTGATGAAGAAATCTGTGCCCTAGAAAAAAATTGTACTTGGGAGTTGACAAATCTTCCAGAAGGCAAGCATCTAGTAGGGTCCAAATGGATATTTAATGTCAAGTATAAAGCAGATGGAAGCATTGATCGATACAAAGCCCGGTTAGTAGCAAAGGGATTCACTCAGACATATGGAATTGATTATCAAGAGACATTTGCCCCGGTGGCTAAACTGAATACAGTTCGAGTCTAACTGTCTTTGGCAGCAAACTTAGATTGGCCTCTTCATCAGTTAGATGTGAAAAATGCTTGCTTGAATGGTGACTTAGAGGATGAAGTCTACATGGATATTCCACCAGGCTTTGATACAGAGAATAACGTCGACAAAGTGTGCAAGCTGAAGAAGTCCCTATATGGCCTTAAACAATCACCTAGAGCTTGGTTTGATAGATTCACAAGGGCAGTCAAGAAACATGGATTTTCACAAGGACAGTCCGATCACACGCTATTTTTCAAGCACTCACCAAGCAGGAAGATCACTATTTTTATAGTTTATGTGGACGACATCATCCTTACAGGTGATAATGAGGAAGAAATGGTCTGGTTAAAATCAATCCTTGCAAAGGAGTTTGAAATCAAGGATCTTGGAGCTCTAAGGTATTTTCTTGGCATGGAGATAGCCAGATCAAAGAAGGGCATATTAGTTTCCCAACGAAAGTGCACCCTAGACTTACTGAAGGAGACGGGGATGCTTGGGTGCAAACCAGTAGACACTCCTATGGATTCAAACTATAAAATTGGAATGAAAGAGGGAAGTGCTCCGGTTGACAAAGGACGTTATCAACGCCTTGTGGGAAAACTCATCTACTTATCTCACACTAGACCTGACATTAGATTCCCAGTTAGTGTGATTAGCCAATTCATGAATAATCCCACTGAAGAACATCTTGATGCAGTGTACCGGATTCTTAGATATCTCAAAATGACGCGAAGAAAGCGACTATGTTTCAAAAAGGGGCATGATAAGAGCATTGAGATCTTCTCTGATGTAGATTGGGCAGGCTCCGTGACTGATCAAAGATCTACCTCAGGTTATTGTACTTATGTGTGGGGAAACTTGGTTACTTGGAGGAGTAAGAAACAATCAGTGGTAGCTAGAAGCAGTGTTGAAGCTGAATTCAGAGCAATGGCACATGGTATTTGCGAAGGAATGTGGCTAAAAAGACTCCTAGAAGAACTAAAGATTCCCAGTGAAGGCTCCATGAAGATGTTTTGTGATAATCAGGCCGCGATAAACATTGCAAAGAATCATGTTCATCATGACAGGACAAAACACGTGGAAATCGACAGGCACTTCATCAAGGAGAAAATTGAAGGAGTAATCAAGATGATTTATACTCCCACGAATCTGCAAACCGCAGACATTCTCACAAAGGCTCTATCACGAGTCACTTTCGAGAATTGACTTCCAAGCTGGGAATGATCGATATCTACTCACCAACTTGAGGGGCAGTGTGAAAATATGAAATTAAACATCTCAATTAGCAAAACAGATTGTCAATCAGTTAGCTGATTGTTTGTATTTTCTTATTTGTAAATATTAGTTTATTTTTTGCTGATTTCTAGGCCTAGAATCAAGGGTGATATCGGATTGTGATTTCCCCTCCTTTTCTATTTAATCTCTGTACATTCACTATGGAAAATTAAGAAATAAGAAAAAAATAATAATTTTTCTCCCAAATCTTCAAAATTCAAAGAGAAAAAGTTGCGATTGAACCAAAAAAAAACTGCAAAGGTCATAAAACAGCAACTGACATGTTAAGTCAAGACCTAAATTATAGCTGTAATATTTGTAAAGTAAACTCCATTAAAAACCTTTTGATACTGCAAATATTTAAGTAATAACCTCTGTCAAGATTTAACAAACACGTGTTTTCAGCTGTTAACTAGGAGACTAGAAATAGGCATTAATTCAATGAGTAAAAGTTTTCAGTTGTTAGCTCGTTGCATCTTAATAGAGAAGAGCCATACAGTTAACAGAAGTTACACAACCAGAAATCAATGTTAGCTCGTATTACTAAATGGGAACTTGAATATATTGGACATTTTGATATGTTCTTTTACTTGGTAGAAATACTAACTTCTTTCATAGTATAATGTTACAATAAAGGGAAATGAAAACGATCATTCAGAGATGACTCTATCTTTCAGCTTACCAATTTGCATCCGGTGAAGGGGCACCCTTAAGATTCCAATTGTTGAGCCAAGGGATTTGACATCAAATCCAACTCCCAGTCCGGCAATAGATAATGCAGCAACAGCGGCATTATGATAGTTGTGGGTCCCCATCACTTTCATTGCGTCTAACTTTAGTTGAGAAACAATCTCTAATGAAGGTACTTCCAATCTGGCAATTTTTGCCTCCATATCAATCTATTGAACGAATTTGCTGCAGTCAGTGTCATTTGCAGCACTCAAGTCAAGTGAAAGAAACCGAAACAGAAATGGTGCAAGTATTCCCACACATGTTATAGCATAGGAAATTGATTTCTTTGACCAAAATTTCATTACTCATTTTCCTATCTGTAGTTTGACAAGCACTATTGGTCAAAACTGACACTTAAAATGGTCTCAACAGATAAAGGTACAAATTCTATAGAAACAAGCGAGAAGAGAACTATTTCTTACTTCTACACCTGGAAAGGTTCCTATCCAAGCACGATTAACTTCATTCATGTACTGGCAAATTGCTTCATTCAAGTGCTGGTTACCTGTAAAGGAGAACTTAAAAAAATAGTAGTTGAGGATAGAAACACTAAGCCACATATAGAAAATAATCTGTAAGATGCATTAAATATAATGAGAAAATGACTTAACGTGCACGCCTTCTAAAGTTGTTTTATCCTGGGGTACAAGACTTGTTCATATATTTAGTCATAAAGCATGCCGTGTATTAAGGTTTGTGCTTCATACAATGTAGGTACATGTCTTGATACCAGATAGAGCATATCTAGTCTAATTAGCACAGAACTTGAAATAACTGCCAAGACTAGACTGCTAGAAATTAAATCATTCCTTCCTATCATCTCCTCGGCACTTGAAGCAAGTATACATTTTAAACTTCGATTAAAACTCACGCACACCACCTAAGACAAACTAGCTTCTCAATGATTCTTAAAGAATCATTATCATTCTAGGCCTTGAATATGATTTTGAGTTCAAAGTTTTACGTTCATGTCATTTTCACGGGTAGGCAACAAACTGGAAGGAGACAAAAGAAATGTTCATATGGAAAATAGTGCATTTGGGTCAAATGCATACCCAAAGGAAGAATAGCCAACTTTGCATCAGTCATGTGAGAAAATATTCGGCATTTAGTCATTGCATAATTTCTCATTGTGCCATGCCTGTCCAAATGATCAGGTGTAAGGTTTAGCACCACAGCAACCTGAAAAGATGCCCACCGCATTTAGCAAAAAACAAAATATGCACAAATATGGTATTATCCGTCGCAAGAAGTTAAAAAGAAAACTTTCAAGCTGCACTTACTGAAGGGCAGAAGTACTTGTTGGCAATTTCCATCTGGTAACTACTAACTTCGACCACTGCAACCTGGGAGAAGCAAAAGATTATGATTATTAATCTGCTATGTTAATCTTCACACACGTTAAATTTGAAACAAGAAATTCATGCCTCAATACTTTTCAAACTATGTCAATAAAAGTTCCTAGCTTAATGAAAGTTCAGTGAAGATTTAATACCAATCAAACAATCAGGTTTACCTGAAACTTGTTTCCTAAAGAAGTTGATTCCAAACATTGGAAAGCAGCTTCGGACAGTGGATTCCAAAGGTTGCCCCCTACAAACGTCTCAACACCGAGTTGGCAAAGCATCTGGCTTCAGATGATTTACAAAAACACTCTCTTAGTCACGAGAGACTTGTAAACGGATAATGTATCTTAAAGAAACATACGAAGAGGATTCATGCCAATTGAAGCCAGCACGAGGTGAAGAAAACATCTACTCAGCTTTTCTTTGATACGATTAGTTATTCATCCACTTCTGTTAACACTTAGAAATCTAGCGGATTTGACAACTAAAGGCTTCATTCTGAAACTAATATTGGAACTTGCACAACATATTACCCTTTTTTATCTACCACTTTGTTCTAGTTATCATTTAAACTATGACAAAGCAGAGGTTTTTTTTTTCCAAGGAAAAAAAATTACAAATGTGCAGCATACGGGTTTTGGTTACTCCTTTTAGCAGTTACAAAACCTGTCCAGCAAAAGTAACAACAGTAGATTTTCCATTGGTTCCTGTGACCGCCAAAATCTTGTTGCCTTTGGGAAGAATTTCTGCAGCAAAATCCAACTCGGACATTACCTGCTTTCCCTGCTTTTTAACAGCAAAAAAGAACAAATAACTGCTTTTAAAGAATCCTTATATAAATGAAATTGATTTATATGAAATTCAATATTTCTTTGCAAAGCATGACTTCCAAATGAATATCTAATACAGAATCCTGAACTTTGAACCGCGTCCAAAATGATAAAAAGAACATCTTGATATAAAAGATCAAGGAAAACAATAATTTTCTTAAGGGACATGTTTTATATGAACGATATGGTCTTCACTGTCTTGTTATGTTGACTTACAAACTGCCCCAAAGACCTGTCAACACTATGAAGTAGCTCCCCATCAAAATGTCCCAGGATTGTTCTCAAATCACCATTGTGCCTCTCAAAAAGAGGATCTTCCTGCAAACAGATAAGAAGTTTCACAATTTAAATTATAAAGGGTTTCATATATTTTCAATCACATATATGCATCGATACACACACATAAGGATTCATAAAAGAAGTTTTCAACAGAAGGGAAAAAAAAAGATTCATAAAACAACTAAATATGTGTATATACATAAGACTTGCAAATCAACTGGATATATAAGAGCATCTCCAATGCAGTGCCAAATTGATGTGCCAATGCCAAATTTTTTAGCATTTGATTGAACACTCTTTAATACAATGCTTCTTTATGATAAGTTTTACAAATGCTATAAAACATTGTCCTTTTAAAATTTATTTTCATATTAAGAGATTACTTTTATGTATTACAGAGCTCAACAATTATGATGAGAAGTAGTATAGCATTTGAAATAGCATTATGCGTTAGAGCATAAAACAAAATAGCACATCAAATAAGCCATTTTGTCGGTTTTTAGTGGCAAACCAAATAAATGAGCATTAGCATTTGCATTGGACATACTCTAAGTATACCTCTAATAATCCCAAATTCTTAGTCTGGTCAATTGCCACAACAGAAGCTCCTCTGGCCAGGGCAAGCCTCACTGCAGCTCTTCCAGACTTTCCCTAAACCAATAACCTGCAAAAGTTTACCATTGAAAATAAATGAATGAATGAATAGATAAAACACCTTTATTTTTGTTTATTAACTGCTATGTTATTTCAGACCACAAAATTCTTTTTACAAGAGTAGAATTTTTTTGCCGTGTTTGGAATTGTTCTTATTTTTGTTTTTCACGTCTTTTGAGAACGAAAAAATGAAAACAATTTCAAAACAGTATTTAGCACAATTAAAAATAAAAAACGGAAATGAAAATGATTTTTTAGTTTAGTGTAAAATATGAGAGAAATGAAAAACGACTTTTAGTCGTTTTCATTTTTTATTTTCGTTTTCTCCTCTCTCAAGCAGAGGGAGACACTAATGGGTTTTTTATACTGAAAATACTCTCTTAAAAAAACTACCAAACGCATTTTCAAAAATGATTTCTGTATGAGATTAAAAACGTTTTCATTTCCATTTTCATACAAAAAATAAAATTATTTTAGAACGAGTTTCAAACGCACCCTTTATGTTATAACTTGCATTTGGAGTTTTTTTTTTTTTAAACAACCCTATATTTTGGATGTTGTCAAGAGTGTACCCTCGAATTTCAATTTCATATCAATTTTGTACCTTTTATGGGCCAACGGGTAACTTTGACGCTTGAATCGACAAATTAAGCAAATAATCGTAAATTTATCAATTCAGAGGTCAAAACCAGCTATTGGCCTAGAAAAGGTATGAAATCGATATGGATTTGAAATTCAGAAGTGTAGTTTTGAGAACATCTAAAATACAAGGTTACTTTTTTTTTTTTTTGTAAACTCAGAATGCACGGCATAAAATCATAAATATCCCATAAATATTAATTTTTTTCTGCTTATACAGTGCTCAATACTCGTAATAAATTAACAGCTGCAAGTTTAAACCACACCCAAATGGACTGGCCAGAGTTGACCTAACTTCCAGTCCGGGTCAGATAGGGTTGACGTTTCAAGCCCAAACACTTAGTGGACGTTTGGTTCATGGGTTCAGAACTATGATTCAGAATCATTCTCGATTTACGTGTATTTTTTGTGAGAGAAAACATTATAGCGAGTCACGAACCATGGTACGAATCCTTGCTCCAAACGCAGCATTATTCATGCCGAGTCAGCTAGGCCCAAAATGCTTTTTTTTATTTTTTGAAAATACATTATAAATTCCGGACCGTCCCTAGACCTGTTAGGTTTTAAGGCTTGGCTGGACCGACTCTCTCCCTTTTATGGCAAGGCCTGTCCAAAATTTGCATTTGAGCTACCGCACCTAGACCGGGCGGGACTAAACGGTCCAAACTTTCACATGGCAATTTTTAAAATTACTTGAAACATAATCCTTTTATTTCTACCCTTAATATTAGCTTATATATTTCTCATTTTTAAACTAGAACTAGCCCAGAGTTTTTTAAAAAAAAATAGTACTTTTAAGAAGTCACGTACTTAAGTACTCTTAAGAATCTGTTATTTTCTCAAATAAGGAAAATTATAAATAAATAAAAAAGCGCACTCCTTTTTCCTCGCTTTAAACTACTGATTACTACTACCAAGTTTTTCTCGTCTCGTAATACTTTCTACTTTCGATCGATTTAGACAACCTACTACTTAATTCACGTAATTTTATACTCATACATTGCTCGTAAGAAACTAATTGAAACAACAGAAAAGCATAAATCGAAATATCAAAAAGGATGAAGAAGCTCGTACGGCAACGGATTGGCCTCGAAGGTCCTGTGCAGAACCGGAGGCTCGGATGATCGACTTTCTGTTCACTGTCTGATTGGTTTTCAGAATCGGCACTCCGCTTCCATTGCTGAAAAATTGCACCTTCATACCCTTTTTTGTTAAATGAAATTGTTTTACAGCTGAACTTGGTTTTTCTTGCTAAAGCGCAGTGGGTTTGAAAGGTTTCGTATTTTTATGAATTAATTATTAGTTGTATTAATTTATTCCTTATTTTTAAAAATTTGAGGAAAAATGGATACAAAATTAATTTAGAGATAAATAATATTACTGGTTGAATTTCACGTGCCAGGCACATTAGAAGTAATTTTTGTGTTAAATTTTAATTATTGTGTTATAATTAAAAATATATAAAATTTGAATATAAAATCTCAAAAAAGAATCAAAATAAAAAAAAAGTAAAATTTTACGGTAAGAAGCAAAAAAACAGTAAAAATGACTAAAATGAATAAATAAATAAATTTTTAGAAAAAAGAATCAAAATTAGAAAGTAAAGTTTTAAAGAAAAATGACAAATAAAAAAATGGATAAATTTTAGGGCAAATGGACGAAAACCAAAAAATGATTAAGTTTTAAGGTAAAAATAATATTAAAAAAAACAAAATAAAGAAATACATAAGTTTTAGAGGGAAAGAACAATACAAAAAAAAAGGAATAAAATTTTAAGTCTAAAATTAAAATGAATAAATAAATAAATTTTAAAATAAAAGGAATTAAAAAATAAAATTCTTGTGCAAAGTAAAAAAAAAAAGTTAAAAAAGACAAAATAAAGAAATAAATAATTTTGAGAGTAAAAGAAACCAAAACGAAAGATAAACAAAATTTCAAGATAAAATAAAAAAAAAAGTCAAACAGGGTTAAAATAAAAAAATAAATAAATTTTAAAACGCCAAGGAATATCTATTTTAGAAAACATTTGTAAAAAATTTAATTTGGGCAAATAAAAGAAAAAAAATTAACAGAAGGGTAAGAACGAAATAATATAAAATTTTAGAGAAAAAATAGTAGATAAAAAGAAGAAAACTATTAGAAAAAAAATGCACGTTTTAACCAAAACGTGCGTTTTGGTTGAAACATTGTAGGTGAACAGTAGGGGGGCAATTTATATTGACAAGTCGTGTTCGTGTCGTGTCGAACTCTTCAGTTGACACGAATAAGTCTGACACGAACACGATCTGTTTATTAATCGTGTCCAAATACAAAATCCAAACACGACATGTATATTGACGGGTTGACACGACACGGCACGACTAACCCGTTTATTAAACATGTCCTAAACGTGTCGTGTCAACCCGCAACCCGTTGATTACCTGCCAACACGTTTATTAAATAAGTAATTAATAGGTCCGTTTAACCTATTTTTGAACCTATTTCTAAACTCATTTCTAAACATATTTATGAAATGGGAGATAAATGAGTCGTGTCGATCTATTTTTCAACCTATTTTGAACCTGTTTAACATAATGTAGAGACATTACATAATCTAAGTTCAAAATTAAAACAAACACACAAAAATTTCTCACAAATTATAAAATAAACACATAAAAGTCTCACAAATTAGAAAACAAACTTACATGATTAATAATTAAACATTTCAAAATGAATGGTTTTACAATACCACAGAAACAGAATCACTGTCTTCTCTAGGAAGAGTCATCTCCAGGCGCTTGCCTGTGCTGGAACCATCATAGTTCCACTTGGGAAGCTTTGAAGGATCACTAACTGGTCCAAGAAGAGTCTTCAAATGACCAAAAAAAATTACATGATTATTTGAATGATTAAACAACCTAAATAAAACAAATAAATAGATATAAATGGAGAATTTCTTACTCTTGCTTTGCTTCTTACGTCCAAACCAGATCCGCCGATCCTGTTGAAGAATACAAACACAACACAAAGAACTTATACTCCATGGATAGACCCATTAGGAAAATGTAAATAAAATAAAATGAAGTGATGATCCTTAACGCTAAAAGCAAAACAGCAATTCACATATCGGTAATCAAACAACAAGAAAACGGATAACCAATAATCGCTTAGGAATCATAAAAAAGGGAAAAAATCCACTAAAAAATATATGTTTCTTTTGAAAAAATAACGAATATATATGAGTATCATTATTTTTCTTTTCCTCTTAATTTGTTGATGAGGCTAAACAAATATACATATCGATTTGGGGTACTTAAAAAACTAATGATTGATTAAAAATGAACACAAAACGATAAAGCATGACAATGAAAATTTCTGAAAACTTCCCAGATTATTACAATATATATATATATATATATACTCGCGATGATCTTCTCGGTGGTGTCTGAGAGATTGAGGTTCACGAGATCCGAAAGCAGCGACATTTTTTGCACTCGCAGAAAGCTTTAAGAAGAACAAGAAGCATAAAAACACTCACTTTCTCTCTCCTCTGATGGACTGAGAGCTCAGGCGGTGGTCCTCCGATGGACTGAGAGCTCAGGCAATGGTCCTCCGGTGGACTAAGAGGTCAGGCGGTGGAGAGTCACAGAGAAGAGAAAAGGAGAGACGAGAGTCGAGAGAGAAAAAAAATAGAAATGCTGGACTTACATGAGGTGGTGTAAGGCGGCACGAGAATGGAGAGTTAGAGGTAGAAAGAAAGAATAAATAGTGTGAAACATTTTTAACCTAAGTGATAAACGGGTTGTATAATCGTATTATCTAAATATGACACGTTTAATAAACGGATTATGACGGGTTAGTTGTGGATTGGCAGGTCAACTTAAAAATGACACGTTATTTAATCGTGTTTCACGGGTTCGACTTGATTTTAACCCGGACCTATTTATGATAAACCCAAACCCGCTAATTTCGCACAGGTTTCGAGTCGTGTTGTCGTGTCACTTCCCAGATTGCCAACCCTAATGAACAGTAGATTTTGATTCTTACTAATATGTTGGTGAACAGTAGTTTTTAAAATTATTAAAAAAAAATTGTTATATTTCAACTGACCTCCTAGTGTACTTTTTAGGGCATATTTAGTTCGCTGATTTAAGTTTTTAATTCGAGTTAAGATTTGACTTTATGTGATGACTTTTTACTGTAGCAAAAAAGTTAAATATCACTGTTTTTAAAAGTTTTTTACTATATCAAAACTTGAATCAATAAAATGAATGGGCCTTAATTTTTATTATAAAATTTTGACGTCTTTTATGATGATTACAACGTGAAATTAATTTTTATTAACGCGCATTTTTAAGGAAATTACATGGCATATCATTAAAAATTCAAACACTTTAATTTTTTTTTAATGAAAAACTTTATATTTTTATTACTGAACTTCAGATATTTTCAATTATTCTAAAACCTTTTTTTAGGATATTGTAGATAAATCAATCAAGTCGTATTTCTCAATTTCTCCTTTAAATGATAATGTTGTGTATATATATATATATATATATTTTTTTTTTTTTTTTTTTTTTTTGTGTTTACCCATATAGTAAAATTTTAATATTAAAATTTAAATTTAACAAAAATTTTAAAATATTACAAAAATAGTAAAATTTTATATCATTAAAATAATGACTATATCTTTATATAATATAAAATAAGATATCATTTTGATCATTATTATATCATTTTTATTATATTTATAATATTCTAAAAAGTTTGCTAAATTTCAACTCAAATATCAAATTTTGCTTACGTAATTATCACTTTTGGTGTTCGTCTTTGGTTATAAGTTTACCGGGCTATTATAAACAACCCAACATTAAAGTCGGCCCACGAACTAGCCACGCTTAAAGTCGGCCCAGTTCATTCCCAAGGCAGCAGTTCTGAGACAGTATAGGCGTCATCTCGTCACCTTCGTCAGACAAGTTTACATGCTTGCCGGTGATTTGGTTCTGGAGCGCACATAAGTTATTTAATTAATACAAATCGAGAAAATGGGTTGGGATTTGAGCTTTTGGGTTCTCTGCTTCTTCGCTAATTTAGCTCTTCTCTCTTCAAACTTCTATCAGGTAAATTTTTCCCTCAATTCAATACTCTTTTTCATGAAACTTACGTGTCTTTAAAATTAGGTTTTTTCTGTTTGGTTGTCGAGAAAATTCTTAGGAAAATTTGGTGCATACTGTTTGCTCTTTCTCCCTCTCTTCTTTTTTTATTTTTTTATTTTTATTTATTTTTCATGTTATCTTGTTCTTCAATGTGGGAAGAATGAAGTTCAGTCATGTCCGTTTGATTGACGAGAAAATTCTGGAAGATTATGAAAATAGTAGGGCCCGTTTTCAACTCGTTTTAAAATAATTTTATTTTTTTATGAAAATAAAAATAAAAATATTTTTAATTTTAGACAGAAATTATTTTTAAAAATGCATTTTGTAATTTTATCAAGAAATTAGTGTCCGTGTAAAAAAACTCATTAATATCTCTCTTTCTCTCCCTATGTTCAAGAGAGGAGAAAATAAAAACAAAAAATAAAAAATGATTAAAAGTCATTTTTTATTTTTTTTCTCATTTTAAACTAAATCAAAAAATCATTTTCATTTCTGTTTTTTGTCTTTATTGCGTCAAATTTCGTTTTGAAAACGTTTTCATTTTTTTTTTCTCGAAAAATATGAAAAATAAAAATGGGATCAATTTCAAACACGGCTGTAGTTTTCCACATTTTTTGTTTCTTTTATTTGTTAGAAAAATAACCATCACCCAAAATAGAGAACGTTCATGTTGGATCACAAAAAATTAATAGGCCAATAAGTAGAAACGTACCTAAATTCATGACGACCAATTACTTTTTAGAGTCGTGTGGTTTGTCTTTCAGATCAACACGTTTTTTTAGAGAATCCTTTAACTTTATCAATGTTATCTCGCTGATAATGTGATGTCAGAAAGAATAGAATATAGCGTGTGATTTTAGGACCATAACCGCTATATATAAATAATTTTCCTGTTATCTTTTGGTATTTTTGTTTTAGTCCATTATAGAAATATAAATTATTCTTAAGTTTCTATACATTAAAAGTCCACACCCTATTAGATACATTAAAGCTTAAATTATCCAAACCTTAACATATCACTTTTAAACGGGCTTAACATTATATGACAATCCGTAACATGTAATTATTTACATATAAGCTCAATGTTGGATTAAAAATTCAACAATCTCTCACTTGGGCTATATGTGTAACCTTATAATTATGCATTACAAAATAACTACGAACTCAACTTTGTTGTCATTACCGAAATGTATCTATAACCAATTCGGACCATCAATCATGCCAACATAGGATTAAAGCGGCATTCGTTACATCAGTCGTAACTTGCCCCATTAATGGTCATGTATGTTGATACAACTTAATGACATGGATCATGATGTGGATTTATAGTATGAAAATTTCATGTAATGTGATCTTAACATACCTATTTCTAACTGGTTCACCCTTAAACCTTATTGTGATCAAACTATACTAAAATCAGAGTGTAAATGAACCAAAATTTTATTTCTGCAGAAAATAACCTCAAAATATCCATAAACTAAAATAACTGAAAATGTGTATATATCAGAAAAGCATCTAAAATTACAAACACCCACTGAAATTGAATATCCTCAAATGGCATGACACCCATCCGAGCAATGTGCTCATGAAACACTTTGGGTGGCAATCCCTTAGTAAGTGGATTTGCAACCATGGCGTTTGTACAATGTGCTCTATAGACATCTGTCCAATTTGAACTCTTTCTTTAACAACTAGGAACTTGATGTCTATATGCTTCGATTTCGTCGAGCTCATGTTATTGTTGGAATACAGAACTGCCGACTTATTGTCACAAAATAACTTGAGCGCTCTTTCAATACCATCCACTATGTGCAGCCCCGTGACAAAATTCTGCAACCATATTCCGTGATTGGACGCCTCATAACACGCTATAAACTCTGCCGTCATGGTAGAAAAGGCTAGAAGAGACTGTTTAACACTCTTTCAGGAAACAGCACCCCGAGCTAGAAGGTAGATATAGCTCGATGTAAATTTCATACTATCTTGGCATCCAGTAAAATCGGAATCAGTATACCCAACGATCTCAAGCTGATCCGATCTCTGATACATGAGCATGTTGTCTTTTGTTCACTGTAAATACCGCAAGACCCGTTTAGCTGCTTTCCAATGGTCTACTCTTAGATTGCTTAAATATCTGGCCAACATCCGAACAATGTACGCAATATCCGGGCGCGTACAAACTTGAGCATACATTAGACTTCGTACTACTGACGCATAAGGAATCTTATGCATTTCTTTTTCCTCAAAATCATTCTTAGGGCACTGATTGAGACTAAACTTGTCTTCCTTTACCACAGGGGTATCACCTAGTTTGCAATATGCATGACATATCTCTTGAGAACCTTTTTGATATAGCTTTTTTGTGATAATCCAAGAAATCTCTGGTTTGCAATTCGAGAGCGATCTAGGTGTATATGTATGCCTAATACAAAAGAGGCGTCACTAAGATCTTTCATCTCAAAATTCTTAGCTAGAAATCTCTTGATTTCGTACAATAAGCCTATATCGTTGCTAGCAAGCAAAATGTCATCGACAGAACTTATGGTATATGCAAGCATCGACCAAATTCATCTCAAAACCGGACAAGATGATCACTTGATGGAACTTGAAATATCATTGTCGAGATACTTGTTTGAGCTCACGGATGGATTTCTTAAGTTTGCAAACCATATTCTTTGGGTCTCTCGACACAAAGTTTTATGGCTACACCATATAGATCGTCTCATCCATGTTACCATTGAGAAATGATGTCTTTACATCCATCTGATGTAATTCAAGATCGAAATGCGCCACCAATGCCATTATAATCCTGAAAGAGTTATAGTCGATGCATTCTTACTGTGTAAAGCCTTTGGCGACAAAACGAGCTTTGTATCTCTCAACATCGTCTTTCAAATCCCTCTTGGTCTTAAATATCCATTTACAATCAATGGGTTTCGCACCTTCTGGCAATGGGACAAGATCTCACACGTTATTGTCTTTCATGGACTTAATTTCCTCATTCATGGCGTCAATCCATTTCTGAGAGTTAAAACTTTTCATGGCTTAACGGAAGTTGATTGGATCATCTTCCATCACTCCAATATCAACCTCATGTTCTTGGAGAAATACAATGTAGTCATCTGTCACTGCACTTCTCATTTCTCTAGTGGATCTTCTTAATGGCATAGGTTCTTGAACTGGTAGAGTTTGTTCTTCTGGAATAATTTCTTGAATGGAAGGTTCTCCAATATTATCTTGATCTATTGTATTTTGAACAAAGTCATGAATGGGATCATGATCAATGCCAATAGCACCTGTGAGAATATCAACATATTCCTCTTCAAAGACAAAGTCCATAACTGTATCTTCTCCCGCAAACTCGACATCCTCGAAGAATCGGACATTTCTCGACTCGAAATTCCACTTAGTCGTGGGATCATAAAACTTGTACCCCTTAGATCTTTCAGAGTATCCAATAAAATAGCAACTCACAGTTCTTGAGTCCAATTTCTTTTTATTAGGCTTATAAGGCCCTGCCTCAGCTGGACACCCCTAAATGTGCAAATGCTTTAAACTAGGCTTCTTATCCGTCCAAAGTTCATAAGGGGTTTTGGCAGTAGCTTTAATTGGAACCCTGTCACGGATATATGCTGCAGTCTTAACCACTTCTTCCCATAGTGATTCTAGTAAGGTAGAATGACAAATCATACGCATCACCATGTCTTTAAGCGTCCTGTTTCGTATTTCAGCAACACCATTTATAGTGGGGGAAACCGGCATAGTGTACTGTGGGACGATACTGTATTCCTCTAGAAACTTAGCAAACGGTCCTGTATGTTGCTCACCTGAACCGCCATATCTACTATAGTACTCACCACCACTGTCAGATCTGACGCTTTTGATCATTTTGCAGAGTTGGTTCTCAACTTCAGTCTTATAATTTTTGAACACATCCAACGATTGTGACTTTTCATGAATGAGATATATATAGCCATATCTAGAATAATCGTCTATGAACGTTATAAAATATTGTTGACAATTCCAAGCAACCGTAGGGAATGGCCCACAAATATCCGTATGTATAAGTTCTAAGGCATCTAAAGTCCTGTTGGCTTCAAATCTCCTTTTATTGGTTTGTTTTCCCTTTATACATTTAACACAAACATCAAAATCTATGAAATCTAAGGGATTTAAAATTTCATCTTACACAAGTCTCTATTCTCCGTTTTGAGATATGGCATAATCTCTTGTGTCATAACACAACCAAATTCTCTCTGGTTAATTTTCTCTTTATACCTCGTGTACTTAATTGCAAGTATTCATTAAATAAAGCAATTGTATCAATCAAATAAAGATTATCATAACCTGACAAAGAACCGGAACCAACCAATTTTGAATCATGAAACAAACTAAATTTTTCATTCCCAAATCAACATGAGTAACCAGATTTGTCCAAAGTAGAAATAGAAATCAAATTCCGTCTAAAAGACGGTACAATAAATGTCTCATTAAGATCTAAATAAAATTCAGTCTTTAACAATGATCTAAATTTTTCTATTGCCTTAACTTGAACCGTCTTGCCATCACCCACATAGATGTATATTTAACCACCACTTGGCTTTCGACACTCAGGCAATCCTGCATAGACACACTGATGTGAGTTGTTGCACCATAATCTATCCACCACGTGTGTCTAGGTACGAAAGTTAAATTAAGAAGCATAATTTTCTTAGCACGCCATGTGTGGTAGTTGGTGCAATACTTCTTCTTATGCCCTTCAGCTCCATAGAAGAAACAACCAGTACCTTCCGGTTTCTTGTATTGTTTCTTTTGAGGTGTCGTATATGCAGCTTTCCTTTTCTTTCCCTTGTCCTTGTCCTTAGAGGTTGAGGCCAGGTGAGCACTCTCTATCTTATCTTGCTTCAGCCTTTCCTCTTCCTAAACACAGTATGAGATGAGTTTATTTAAAGACCAAGTTTCTT